TCTTCAAAATACCTTCCTTTATGTTCCACAAAAGAAAGGTTTGAAATGACATGAGGGATGTGAGAGTAAATGATGACAGAATTATTTTTTTTTGGGTGAACTATCCCTTTAATGTTTTTTATTATTATTATTATTATTATTATTATTATTAATTAAATTATACTGGTGGCGGTAAATGTCTTCATTCGATTAACTTAAGCCCAGAGTCACCGGAGGATGAAGCAGGGATTAAGAGAGCAGCAGAGAACAGTGAGCTAAATTTGTTTTTGCATTTGGGCAGTTTCCTGAAAACAGCTGTCCCAAGACTAACAAGCATCCAAAAATTGGCTTAGTTTGTGTCAGCAAATGTAAAACCACACGAAGAAACACGTCAAGTTTATGAGACATTTCATGCCAGAGAATGTTGTATTTACTGAACTGTTGTATAAAATCACATTTAAACTCGTGATATTTGGGACAGAATCAGAACTTGTGTAATAGCCTACTGCTCTCCCTGCTTGTGTGATATCGTATGGGAGTTTGTACGATATATCGATATTTTCTTTATAAGCGATTCGATATTAGACAATACCATTTATATCAATATACAGTAGTTTGATACGAGCGCATGTGAAAGTATAGCGGAGGACACAGACTGAGCTGCTGCGGAGAAAGTGCATAATCCAATTTATTTTAAACATGTGACAAGCTTCATATTAAGGCCTTTAAAAACTGGTAAGACATAGTTTCGTTTCGCATATTAGTTTAAGCGGCTCGGCCCATCATATGCTCTGACAGAAAGGCTGCGTGTGCCGCTGACAGAGACACTAGGCTACTCGCGCTGTTTAATGTGTTTTGAGATGTGCTGTCTTCCTGAATGCATAACTTACATTTCACAGGTATAGTTTCCATCTGTAAATGTTAGAAAGCCATGGAAATATTTCCATTTTTGCATGAGCCCAGCAAAGGGTCTGAATACTTAGGATCATGTGATATTTCAGTTTTTCTTTTTTTAATAAATCTGCAAAAATGTCAACAATTCTGTGTTTTTCTGTCAATATGGGGTGCTGTGTGTACATTAATGAGGAAAAAAAATTAACTTAAATGATTTTAGCAAATGGCTGCAATATAACAAAGAGTGAAAAATTTAAGGGGGTCTGAATACTTTCCGTACCCACTGTATATTAAATACAGATTTTTAAAAATACAAATACAAAAACGAAAATACCAAGATATATACCGTTTATCGCAAATCGGCCAAAAAATACAGAGATATGAATTTTTGCCCATATCGCCCAGCCCTAGTTGTTATATGTTGAAATTTGATTATGTGGCACTAAGTATAGACCACACCTTTTCTTCAATAGTAAAGGCCATCATCGATCACGAGGTAAAGAATGGTATACCATCCAGTCGTATCATTCTTGGTGGCTTCTCTCAGGTAAGTGATCCATCCTGAAATTTTCTACTATTACTCAAATGGCTGACATTGCAGATGCTGTTCAGTTCCTCTCTTGATGTCTGATCTTCAGGGTGGAGCTCTCTCGCTCTACACCGCTCTGACCTCTCAGCGGCAGCTAGCGGGTGTTGTTGGACTTAGTTGTTGGCTTCCACTTCACAAGACTTTCCCACAGGTACAAGATGTCAGCAGTGAGATTGTGTGAGGATAAATATGTATATATGTAAATAGGTATGTCTCAATATGGATCTGCTTTTTTATCCATTAGGCTGCAAGTGGGAGTGGAAACAAGGACACTCCCATTCTGCAGTGTCATGGCGAGATGGATCCCATGATCCCGGTGCAATTCGGGGCCATGACAGCAGAGAAGCTCAAGACCATAATTTCTCCTCAGAATGTCACCTTCCGCTCCTACCCGGGTCTCATGCATAGCTCCTGTCCACAGGTGAGACTCATCTGTTACGCTCACAGAAACCTACATTTAACATGTTTTACCATGTTCAAATTCATCATGCAGGCTTTCACAGATTCTCCTTCAAAAACAAAAAAATCCGTAGAATCCTTTTAGACCTACCTATATGTCTTCATTTGAATAGCAGTTCTTTATTGTGTATTACTACACTACTTTTTAACGTTTTTGAAAGAAGTTTCTTATGTTCACAAAGGCTGCATTTATTTGATTAAAAAACAGTAATATTGTGAAATATGATTACAATTGAAATAACAGTTTTCTATTTTAATATTTTTTAAAATGTAATTTATTCCTGTAATGGCAAAGCTGAATTTTTAGCAGCCGTTACTCAAGTCTTTAGTGTCAGATAATCATTCTAATATGCTGATTAGGTGCTTAAGAAACTTTTTTCTTATTGTTATCAATGTTGAAAACAGTTATGCTGCTTAATTTCTTGTGGAAACCATGATACATGTTTTTCAATATTTTTGATGACTAGAATGTTGAAAGGACATAATTAATTTGAAATTGAAATCCTTTTTAACATTATGCATGTCTTTTATTGTTATTGTCTTCTCATGTATTGTCTTTTAATCAATTGAATGCATCCTTGCTGAATAAAAGTAATAAAAGTACTTATATGTTACTGATAAGATGCGCGTTAAATATCGCATGCGATTTATCGTGCAGCCCTAGTTCCATACTTCAATGGTAAATAAGGTACAAAGGTGAATCATTTGAAAGGGTACCACCCCAGTGACAACTTTTATGCCTTTTTTCTGACAGTGTACTGTAATTATTGCTAAGAACAGCAAGATTTAGTTGGAAGCAAACTCCTGTTCTATATACGACACTCCATGTGAACTAATAACAGGATGAGGTCTGAACTGAAATCATGCAAAATATTATCTTTGATGTGGTACAGTGGTTACAGTAAAACTATATTGTTTGTTCATGCTAGTTCTAACACCCATACTACTCTCTGATTGGCTTTACAGGAGATGTCTGCTGTGAAGGAATTCATTGAAAAGAAGTTGCCCCGAGTCTGACCTCATTCTAGCTCACTGTGACCCTTAGACACTGACCTCTCTCACCTCTGACCTGCCATTCTCTCACAGGAAACAGCCATGATCCCCTACAACACATGCGCATGCACATTCAGTTGTACATACTGTGAACATGCAACACATGCATACCATGTCATCTCACACCTTTCTTAGTAATTTCATACATTAGTGGACATTCATTAAAAAGGTGATATTATAATTGGCATTCGTACATAGAATAATATTCCATGAAAGTCTTTTGGCCTTTTCTTTAAAGAAGACTCATTAACTTTCATTATACATTCCTGTACGTGTTACATCTTAAACCATTATCCAGTATCTCTCTCCCCTACTCTTCTGTCTCTTTCTCTCAATAAGCAAGGCGGTAAAGGTAACATTTTGCTAGACAGCTCTGTAACAGAACTCGGGAGAGTTCAGATGCTGCACATCTGTGGTGTTGGTGGAGGAAGCTAGTGAGAGCCTGGTGCCGTCTGGAGTGACTCGCGTTGCGCTGCTCTGCATGCTAGTCCCATGGTGCATGCCTGCGGTGGGGCTTTATTGGGATGCTGCAAATCATACTTGTGCTGAAATATCTTTGGATTTTTTTTGTTTTTTTTACTAGAAATATGAGAAAGGCAAGCGAAAATGTCTCAAATAAACTACGCTAATGAATCATTCAAATCTTCCAGTATGCTTTGTTCTTCTGAAACAATTACACAGAATGAGAAAAGATTATTTCATTTTGTGCCAGAGTGAAATCTGTCTGTATGCAAAATTATGAATAGATTTTTTAAATAACACAACATATAATAAACACATAAGCAGCTTTAGATTTGAGTATTTTATTGTAATAATCAATGATTCTAAGCTCTTGACATCAATTTATCAAAGTGAATCACTCCAGACAGCCGATAATATTTTCCAGTTGCTTTAAATAGCTTCCTCAAGTCCTCCCTAATTCCCAATCCTCCTCATAACCTCATCATCCTCCACTTACGTGACCAAACACATTCAAGTGTTCTGGGGTCTCAGATTGCATATGTATATACATTTCAGGTTCCATATTAAAAGCATAAAAGTATTGTTTACTGACACGACCTAATAAAAGATGGAAGGTCAGTTATGCAGCAGCGTGGTGGATTAAGCCTGCTGATATTAAAGAAGTAACCTTGATTAGCTATTAAAATTGAAAGATGAGCTTGCAAACATGGTTGCTATAGTCATTTCTCTCACAGTTTGCTTGTATACGTTTGAAAATGGATTAAAATGGTTTCTGTGTGATGATATCTAAAGTTGTTTGCAAAGTAGTGAATGTTGCTTTTTTAACCTAAATAGATGTTCTTCAATATATTATTTCAGTGTTATTTTATCTTACAGAGTCCATTTGACTTCAATGTTTTCATAAATCTTATGATCCCCTCTTTTATAATTGCCATTATTCCTTATTATTAGTTAGAATAAGTTCTTGGCATCAGACAGGTTTCCTATATGCCCTGTGGCTTGAATGTTTATTGTATGAATCATGGGCATGCCAGGCACAAGTCGGTCAGCAGAAACTGGCAATATCTTTGGGTTTACCAGTGAACTTATCAGTTTATGTCCACATGAGTTGTGTTTTGTTGTTGGTTTTTGTTTTGTCGTTTGTGCTTGTTTAAAAAAAAAAAAAAAATCTGTCATGTTCTTTTGTCGTTGTCTTTTTTTTTTAAATGTTCTTTTGTGCTTGAGTAATCTAAAGTTATTGATGTTTAAACAAATAATTATTAATATTTATTTATTTATAAAGATATTTATTTCAGATTTGGATTTTGCAGATGTGTTTATGTTTATTGTTTAAAAAAAATCAAATTAAATCATTTAAGGCACTGATATGACTCATGTGAGTGTATATGATTTAAAACAAATTTTACTGTAACATTAATTTCTTTACGTGTAAAACGTTTTTAATGTACAAGATACTGGGTGGACCTTCGGTAGGTGGCGGTAAGTGGCTCTTAAACTCGGTCCTTCATCTACCGTTAAAACCGCGAAGGAGACGCAGATTATTGTCCTATGAAATGAGAGCATGACCAGCAAACACAGCCACGAGCACCACCCCTATGATTATATAGTTCTTTATCATTTCTTTTTACATAATCTCTGACATGATCGAAGGTCTTCTGTCCGATAACAATGTTGATATAAGCTTTTGGTCGTTTGATGTGTCGACGCTTAGTGGATACGTCCAAATCAGTGATGAGGTACGTGTGAGATTGTTTGTGTGTTGATCGCTCATGTCAACACGCCTTGGTGTCGAAATCTCCGCCTGACCAGCTTGGGAGTGTGGAAAATGAAAGCTCTGCTTTATCAAACGTGTTTGTGGGTAGATGGCTTTAATGCAAGGGGTCTGTCAGCCATAGACCGGTATGATGAACTGAACTGATGATGCTGATCAGCTGTCAACACAGTAAATGCTTCCTTAAAAAACTTCAGGCAGAGATTCAGAGCTTTTGTTGAATGCTCTGTCCAGTTTTATTCTTAGAGAACTGTTGCAAATGCTTCATGAGAAATTTAGCTGCCAGAGAGAAACCCACCCCTCCACCACTGAAAACAAATAAGCAATTCACCGAGCTAGTATGCAGCGTTTATACATTGTGATGGTTTACATGAAACAATCTTTTGTGTCTGTTAGAATATTGTAAGTAACTGCTTTCTTTTCGAAACCACTAAGTAATCTGTAAACAGCGTATGTAATCTGTTTTATGTGTTTAGTTCGTCACCATGTTGTCTTTTTGTGTATTGTTAAAGGGGTAGTTCACTCAAAGAGAAGATTATGCCATTCTTTACACCCTCATGTTGTTCCAAACCCGCATGACTTTCTTTATTTTGAAGAGCACAAAAGGAGATGTAGTGCAGCATGTCAGCCATGTCACCATTCGCTTTTGTTAAATGGGGAAAATATGCAATGGGTCACACTTTATATTAGGTGGCCTTAACTACTATCCACTAACATTAAATACCTACTAGACTGGATTTGCTATGTAACTACATGTTATTCTGGAAAATTCCCCCAAGTTTGAGGTATGGATTGCTTTTAGGAGTAAGGATGAAGAGTTACAGTTTTGGGATAAGGATTGGGTTATTGTTAGGGGTAAAGTCAAGTGTAACTACAAGTGTTCATTTAATGAAAGTACTTTAAATGTAATTACAATAAACCAACATGTATGTACATAGTAGTTAAAGCCACCTGATATAAAGTGTAACCATGCAATGAGTCCTTCACATTTCACCTTTTGTCTTCCATGTTAAAAAAAAAAATCATAACGTTTTGGTACTGTCACTTTAAATGTCAGATTAGTGCATGCTGTTGTTGTCAGTCATGGCAAATAATTAGCTTGGAGTTTCAGACATTGTTAAAAGTGAAAACGGCAGTTGAGGATCATCTTGTAACACAAAGCCTGCATTGTTTGAAAGTAGCCCACTGCCTGTAAAATGAATGCAAATGGAGTTTTTCTATTAATGGACACACAGTATGTTTAATGATTGAGCTCTAGTGTGGGGGAAGCTTGTGGAACAGAAACGTTTCCCTCTCTTTGTGTGCCTGCCAAGTGCTGCTCTTATTTCATCTGTTCTGCATTCTCAGACTTCCCACCTGAAAATGAGCCGTTCGACCACAAGCCCAAAGTGTGTTTATAATGATCCTTCTGAGTTCTAAAATGTGCTTTGTTTCTGATGTAACTCCGCAGACATTTTTGTTGAATGCGAGTGAGATGTGAAATGATGTGGAAACGAGCAGACAGAATGACCTAAAAAAATGGGTCGAAGCTCCCACTCACTCATGCCCGATCAGTGCACCTGCTGCCACCCTCTCCTCTCCCACAACCCTCTCAAGTAGATTTATTAGAGCATGACATGATGCATACTGGATTGTTTTGCTGATGAAATATTATAGAGCCCTCAGGTCATGTAACCTTTTAAAAAGGTTTCTTTCTAAGTGTACTTGTACTTTTTTAGCAAAAAGAGGCAATAAGATCAGATAACAATAAGATCAGATAAGGACACCTGTGCAAGATTGTTATTTGCACAATGTGGTCATATGCAAATTAGCATTTTGTGAAGCAGACTGGTTTTGTTACGTTAGGGATTTCCACAAGATAGTTATGTGAGTTATATTTAAAGCCGCACTGTATAATTATTTACTGTTTAATATGTTCTAAAGCAAAGGACTGGTCACGCAGAGCATGTTTGTGTTGCTTTTCTACTGTTTTTCTATGCAAACATGCGCTTTATGGATGTATTTGACAATTGCGATCATGCTTGGCATCTTTTGCAGCATCTCATACGTTACACAGCTTTCTAAAAACTCAGCGCTCAAGTCAAAAGATCAACTTCTAAAAAATGCTTCTCGAGACCTTCATTCTTCTACCCTAAAAGTGTAGACACTAGAAAAGTGTAAACACTTTGGCAATATCAAAACACTTGAGTAATTTTTTTTTTAAGTGCAAACCCAACAGTCGATTTCATTGATCAACTCAGTCACCTGTCACAAAATGTTCAGACTTTATAGATTAAGTTCAGAGTCCAGAAAGATTATTGATGGGTCTGATCACGACAAACCGTAATGGCACTCCAGTCTTATTTGTTGTTATTTGTGCAAGATTTTCTTGTGGTAATTTTACACTTTAGATTTAAGCCTAACACTATTTTTGAGTCAAGCTTTGAGGTGAAGGTAATGGACTAGTGATGGGCGTTGAAACTATGTGTTAGGGCTGCACGATAAATCGAAATGGAATCGAGATCGCGATACGACAGAAGCTGCGATTGTTATGCGTATCTTTCAGTGAAGCACGGTTCTGTGATCAGCAGTAAATCTCCATCCAAAGGCCAGAGGGCGCTCTCACGCTGAAACTCCAAATACGCCTCGCAGAAGAAACTCAGAAAATGCTGATGATGATTTCCTGCTGATTACAGAACCGGCATTACTATCAAAATGCGCATGACAATCGCATTCGATTAATCGTGCAGCCCTACTATGTATCACATTCGGAGCAAAAGCTGATTGCCTGATGTCAAATTTTTAAATAGAGATTGCAATATGGTGCTGTTGATTTTCCATATTGATTTTCCATCCCATGATATAACCGTGAATAACAGATCCCAGACAATGTGATTGTGTTGATGTGTTTACAGGACTTGTGGTATGCCACCCATCCACTCTCATGCTGGCTGAGTGTTGAAAACTGAATGTGGGCCGCTCTGCGGCTCCCACTACAGCTCCTGCCATGGGGAATACCGCCACCAAGTTTCGTAAAGCACTTATCAGTGGAGACGAAGGCCTGGCCTGCCAGCTCTATGAGAACAACCCTCAATTTAAAGAGGCACTGGAGCCCAACGCATCTTATGGGGAGCCCTATCAACACAACACACCCCTGCACTACGCCTCACGCCATGCCATGACTCGCCTCATCAGGTATGAGCCTGCGAATGATTGGGCACTGAATTACAAGCATTAGCCTCTACTGGTTGAGTTTTGATTGTTCACCTTAAATTTGAATGTAAGAGTGACACTATTTAAAGCAGATCCTTAACATTTTAGAAAAACTTATTATTAAAATGTATATTATTATTAGTTATTAAATTATAATTAAAATTAAAATAAGTATTTAATTTTATTCATGATTATGTGAAGCTAAATAAATGACGAATTAGATTTTTTTTATTATTAGGTGCTTGTAGTCATTATACACTACTGTTCCTGTAACTGTACTGTTACTGTACTGTAAAGTTTGTGGTCAGTAAGATTTTTATTTTTATTTTTTAATAAGAAATTAATACTTTTATTCAACAAGAATGCATTAAATTGATTAAAAGTGGCTGTAAAAACATTTACAATGATACAAAAGATTTCTGCTTCAAATAGACACTGTTCTTTTGAACTTTCCATTCATTGAAAATCTTCAAAAAATTTACCACGGTTTTCACAAAAATATTAAGCAATATAGCTGTTTTCAACATTGATGATAATAATACATGTTTCTTGACCACTAAATCAGCATATTAGAATGCTTTCTGACGGATCATGTGACACTGAAGACTGCAGGAATGACAAGAAATTTCAAGAAAATTCAGTGTTGCCATCACAGGAATAAAGCACATTTTAAAATATATTAAAATAGAAAACAGCTATTTTAAATTGTAATAATAATTTGCATATTATATATATATATATATATACACACACACACAAAACTGATCGAAAGTGACAGTAATATATATATATATATATATATATATATATATATATATATATTTGCATATAGTTATTTTTGATCAAATAAATGCAGCCATGGTAAGCGTAAGAAACTTATTTCAAAAACATTAAAAAAATATTACCGACCCCAAACTTTTGAACGGTGGTGTATGTGTCAGCGCAAAACATATGAACCCATTTAATATCAATATGTAGCCTAACAAAGAGGGATAATACTGTTAGACTTCTATTCATGTAATTGGAAAACCCAAACAGCATAGCAGCATTTGTAGAGGGTTGTTGCTTCAGGGAGAACAAGAAACACTGAATAACCATTCCCATGTTGGCCCCTAACAGACAGGACCTAAAGCAAATATGCATGGAACGGGAAGCTTATGTGGAGCCCGTAGTGTTTTTGTGCGATGCAAGGTTATTTTTGCATGGTTGTTGAATTCCATTGCTTGGTATTTGAGTCAAGACCACTTGGAGCCTTGAATCCAACTCTGACTTAGTGTAGTTAAAGCACCCCTCTGAGAAAATGGTTGGTAATTACCAGTTAGGACAGCTAGCTACTGAGGACTCTCTGTGCCTCCTCTTTCCTTTTCACTTTCCTCGTTTCATTTTACAGCTCATTGGAGCACACAACTAGTAACCTCAATGATTTCACTGCCTTTATTTGAATGGTTTGATGCCATTAACCCGGCAAAATTAGTCTAATAGTTATTACTCCTTTCTCGAAAGTACTAGTATGAATCCGGTACCTTGTGAGCACAACTTTGTTTCCAGGCAGACTTTCAAATTCAGCCAGTCAAATTAGAACTTGCAAGGCCAAACAATGCTTCTACATGTATCCTAGTTTGAAAACAAAGATATTGACAAAACTGCAAACACCTTAGCTCGAACCACTACCCAAGCTAGAACGGCCAGTTTGAAGTGGTTCTGTATTTAAAAGCTAATACCAGAGTTCTGTATTTTGTAACTGGACTTCTGGTTCACGTTTTGGCTGCTACTGATTCTTGGAAAAACAGCCTGCCAGTCTAGACCACACCCAGAATTTTTGAGGCCAAATGTGTGTATCTCTGGCTTAACATATGTTTACCCTTTGTTTGGTCTTGTTTTTATAATGATCACACTTTCATTAGTGAGCATACAGCAGAACAAAGCACAAGATGTCTGTCACCTGCTTGTCTAGACATTATCTTTGGATATTGGTGTCATTCCAGCTTAAATGCTTGGCTTTGCATTTCATGATGTGGTTACGTCATTATTGCAATAAGGTTCTATTGTGACATCTCACTAGATTTAACAGTCGCATAGTTAACAGGTGTCTGTATCAATTTGTGGTAGTTTAACCAGTCTTTCAGGCCTCCCAGGTGCAGTTTCAGTTGGAGAGCAGGGTTAGGGGAATGCAGGGAGTTAGAGCTGTTGTTTTCAGTTTCATTAACTAATAAACACCCATTGACAGATTCACATCACAGACTTCCCAGAACAGCTCGCTGAGTCATTTCCACTAAAAGACATTAAAGCCTGCTGGATGCAATCACTAAATTCACTCTTAAAGCTTACAAGGTTGTACATTTCCCTAAGTCCATTCTATGGTGTATTTCAAACCTGTTATGAATTACTTTGAAGCTCCCGCTAGTAATCGCCTGAAAATTATATTAGTCTTTCTAATTACCTCCAGGTAGGGAGACGCTGCAGCCTCCAGCTGTGTTGAACAGTGTCATGACATTTTCATTGTTAATATTGTTATGACCCTAATGCACTCTCATATGTTATGAAATTTTGGTAGATGCCACCACTGGGAGGAAGACAAAGGTCGTCTTCTACCTGAGGTGTTTTATAGAGGCTTATAAAATCAATATATGTGATAGTTCTGGTCTTGGATGCTGATTGGGCAATACAACATACCGTCATCCACAAAGTGTTAACCGGTATGATGCATAACTCCTGTTCATTGTATGGCACCCTTAAGGTTCTGAGCATGCAAAATCAATGAATTTCGATAACAGGATATGACGTAATTCTTTCCACCTCATTGTTCAATGCAGAAGTAAGTTATTTCCTGTGAATGTACTTCTGATTCCTTAGCTACTATAGGTAGATAAATAGAAGAACAACAGAGTGCAGTAAATGGTAAAACCGGTGTGTTTATGATTACAATTGTAAATTTAAAATAGCACAACAAATACCTGTTTGCAATATCAAGTAGCATAATGGATTGTTTTTGTACAGCTAAAATAACTGGAAGCCTCACATATTCAAGTTACAAATATCCGTACCTGCTCTTACTTCAAAAATAGACTGGACAAGTTGGACAAGCAAAAAATTAATTCTGGAAAAATCAAATATCAGGCCTGAAAAAGTCACAAGATCTAATAAAATCTTAAAAATGTTGGAATATTCTATAGCTCATATAAATATTTCAAATTATGATCTAATTCAAGGAGATAGATATTGCTTTTGTGTTGGGCAAAATTTGCTTATGTAAGCTATAGTGATGCCTTTTTTTTAAATGATTTGTTGTTTTTATGCAGTTATTTTCAATAAATAAGATGAAGCTGTTTACAGATCAGTACACAGGATTCATTAAAGAATCAAGTCTGAATTAAAATAATTTGCACAAAATTAATATGCACAAAAACTAGACTGTTAGGGTACAGTATTTTTGCATTTAGTTTCGCTGCGTCTACTGTTTGTGTTTTGCTGTTGTAAATTGTATTCTTAAATGTAATTCCGATTTTTTTTTTTTCTTTCTGATTTACAGTTTGTACTTACTCTAGTTCCTTTCCTGCAGGTCTTTCCTTTTCTCCAAAGATGGCAACCCCAACAAGTGCAACGTTCACAATGAGACTGCGTTGCACCTGCTTTGCATGGGCCCACAGATCCTGCTGAGTGAGGGGGCGCTGCAGCCGCGGATCAGCCGCCCCCAGGAGGATGAACAGAAGCGGGCTGAGTGCCTCCAGATGATCCTGCAGTGGACCGGAGCCAAGCTAGACCAGGGCGTGTATGAAAGAGCCAACGTCAATGCCACCGACAACAAAAAGAGCACCTGCCTGCACTACGCAGCAGCGGCTGGCATGAAGAACTGTGTCGAGGTAACAAGATTGTTATTTTCTTACATAGTTCAGGCCTCCAAGTTGTGTATGTGTTTTTACAGTATTTTCAGTTGATTTGATGCAAAGCCTCAGTTCAGTTTCAGTTCTTTTAGACTGTGGCCAAACTCCATGACCATGCAAGATTACTTTTCTGGTTTAATTGTAGTACACTAGGATTGATCACTCAGTGAAGCCACTAGCTAGGTTTTAGTCTTGTGTTTTTGCAGTTGTTAGTGAAGAACAATGCAGATTTATTCGTGGAGAACGAGGACAGGGAGACGCCGTGTGACTGTGCGGAGAAACGGCATCACAAGGAACTGGCGCTCAGTCTGGAGTCTCAGATGGTTTTCTCTCAGGATGCCGGAGCTCAGGAGATTGAAGCAGAGTATGCCGCCCTTGACCGACGAGAGGTACGGCTGTGTTAAAACTGTATATATATATATATATATACATTTTTTTTTTTACACTTTTATTCAGCAAGAATGCATACAATTGGTCCAAAGTGACAAGACATTTATATAATGTTACAAAAGATTTCCATTTCAAATAAATGTTGTTCTTTTGAACTTTCTTTTCATCAAAGATTCCTGAAAAAAGCCGGTTACGGTTTTCACAAAAATATTATCATCACAACTGTTTTGTACATTGGTAATAAGAAATGTTTCCAGAACACCAAATATTTCCAAAAAAAAAAAAAAAAAGTTCTTACCAACCCCAAACCTTTGAATGATACTGTGTATATGTACAGTATATACAATTTTCAATATATTTATTTTGTACAATTTTATATATAAATATATATGCTATATGTATGTATATATATGCAATATGTACGTGTGTGTGTGTGTGTATATATATATATATATATATATAATATTATATTTTATAGAATAATATATCTTCTTGTGTAAGGTTTTCTCAGCAAATATTGATTTATGCAATTCTCAATTTATGTTTCAGCATATCTTGTAATTAACTTCAATTTATTGTTCTGTTTGTTAAATTTGTTAATCAATTTATTGCCCAATATATAATATAGGCAGAAGTTTGCAGCCTTACAAACAAAGAAACTAACGTTCACTGTGCGTGTGCGAGTACACCGTTATTTCTTTAGTTATAGCTGTGTGCTATGCGCTGAGGATGTGAGCTCAAGATAAATCATAACTTGGTAATGTACTGTCAAAGGATAGGGCACCAGTTGAAAGAGGATAGACCCAACTGCCAGCAGCAGACTCATGATTGCTTCGTTTTCTGTTCCAGACAGGCTGAGCAATATAGAAGTTTAAAAGGAAAAGCTTTATTACTTCTCTTTCCATCACTTCTCCTCTCACACCCTCTTTCCTTCACACTTCTCATCTTTATCCCTCTCTCTCCCAAACCTGTTATTCTCTTTTCTTTTTCTCTCCAGCCATATGAGGGATTGAAACTGCAAGACCTGCGTCGGTTGAAAGACATGTTGATAGTGGAGACGGCGGATATGCTGCAGGCTCCTCTCTTCACGGCCGAGGCCCTGCTGCGAGCTCACGGTATGAATTTACTGCAGCGACTTTTGAAGTCAAACAATTCCACTCATCCAATGATATCACTGGGTTTGTATGCAACAATTTTTTTTACAGTAATTGGCATCACAAGTGAATCCTGAGGTAGTTGGGTAAAATCTTTTAGATTTTGTGAACACTAATGAAAAGTCTCTGACTTAATGGTTTTACTGTGCTCATAATATTCTGTGAAACACTTTGGACTACATGCTATAAGTACCGTCTGATCCCTCTACCATAGTTTTGCTGCAGTACGTATTTGTGAAGAGATGAAAAGGTAATATATTGCAGAGGGCTGTCACTGTGCCAGCTGATCCATTTGATCAATTAAAGAAATATGCCAAATTTGGCCAATATCCAAGACCCTTCATTCTTGAAGATATTACAAGCAAAAGGGTTTGGTTTGACTTTATTACTGGGCAAACCAGAACATTCCATGCTTAATCTTTACTGAAGTAGTTGGCACCAATTTCACATTCATACATTCCAAGAGACAGAAGTGGATTCAATATAGTATTTTTTTGAAAATTAAAATAGCAAATCGCAAGTTCTCTCAGAACATTATATAGCCGACATCTGCTGCATGTCCTAAACAGGCGTTATGCGTCCAGGATCCTGCTTCAAGCAACTTGTCTGTCCACACTTTGCTTGCTTCTGATTGGCCGTGGCACTGTCAAAGCCTATCAGAATATCTGATGTTTTATACACAGCTATTTGAACCAATGGCCCGGTTTAAACCTTCTTTTTACTGAAAAGACTGGGACAGGGAAAAACTTCTAGAGGACTGGATGTCTAATGCAGAGGACTGCTGCCAGCGCTCAGGTGTTCAGATGCCAACTCCCCCACCGAGTGGCTACAATGCTTGGGACACTCTGCCTTCACCTAGAACTCCCAGAACAACTCGCTCCTCTGTCACCTCCCCTGATGAGATCAGCCTGTCACCTACTGATGGCCTTGCCCTGGTTAGATTAATCTCCATGCATCACGTTATGATCCACATTCTTTATCATTCAGTGTACAAATATTGAAAAGAATATTGACACAGTCTGTTCAATGTTTTTGTACCCATGTAGTGTGGGATTTGCATGTGCACCATATCGGTGTTTGAGGACCCTGTGGATATGTCTTGTGGTCACGAATTCTGCAGGGCATGCTGGGAAGGGTAAGGAATAGAAGTTTTGTTTAAATCACAAGTTCAGATCATATCAGATGTTTTTCTTAATAATGTATCCATTACAGGTAACTACTTACACTACAGCGTTTGTTGTCAGTAAGATTAAAAAATTAAAATGAATACATTTATTTAACAAGAATGGATTAAATTGATCAATAGTGACAGTAAAGAATTTTTTACATTACAAAAGATTTCAAATTGAAATAAACACGGTTGTTTTCAACTTTCTATTCATCAAAGAATCCTGAACAAAATATATCATGGATTCCACAAAAAAATTATGCAGCACAACTGTTTTCAAAAATATTTATTGAGCATCAAATCAGCATATCAGAATATTTTCTGACCGAACATGTGGCATGAAGACTGGGAAATTCAGTGTTGCCATCACAGTAATAAATTACATTTAAAATATGTTAAGATAGCATCTAGAAAAGTTTTTAAATGATAATAATATTTAACAGATATTACTGTTTTTTGATCAAATAAATGCAGCCTTGGTGAGCATAAGATACTTCAGAAACCTAAAACAATATTACAGACCCCAAACCTTTAAACTATAGTGTACATGCTGGAATAGTTTATAAACAGAATAGCAATAAACGTCAAATATTGTTTTATACACGTAATCACTGACTATGCTTTAGATATATATTTTACCATTTCCTATTTAATCATGGCATTTGCAATGCTTTATGTGATGAGTAGTTCTTTTCATCAAAGAAAAAATATGTTTTTGTTTGTTTTTCGCTTCAAAACTTGTTTTTTTGTTGTTTACATTTTTTAAATCCTGTGGATGAATAGAAAAAATTCTCCTCCACTAAAAAAAGCACTATATTGCAGGTTGTTTATGATCCATGTATTCATAGTCTTTGAACACTGTTTGTCTGGATGTCAGGTTTTTGAATCTGAAGATCCAAGAAGGGGAAGCACATAACATCTTTTGCCCTGCTTATGACTGCTTCCAGCTGGTTCCTGTGGAAGTCATTGAAAGCGTTGTCTCCAGAGAGATGGATAAGCGCTACCTGCAGTTTGACATTAAGGTACAATTGCAGTTCACAAAGCACCAGAAACCATTTCAAAGCTGCCATTTTATTTTTCTTATCATAGACTGTCTGACGTTGGCTTTGAATCAAAATGCTGACAGCATCCTGCTGTTGGTTGAGTTTATGCCAGTGCTTGTTTGAGGAAAAAAAGCTTGTAAACACACATGCTCAGAAGTAAAATGTTTGATTGAAATATCATGTTGATTTGATTTGTATGATTTACAGATTAAAATTGGTTTTGGATATTGGGTCATTTACGTCATCCAAAACAAAGAGCAAGTTTCACCACATTTCTTTTTTTCGTCACCAGGCTTTTGTGGATAATAATCCTGCCATTCGCTGGTGCCCCGTAGCCAGATGTGAAAGAGCCGTACGACTGTCTAGGCCAGGCCCTGGAGCCTCTGACCCTCTGAGCTTCCCATTGCTCAAAGCCCCTGCTGTAGACTGTGGCAAAGGCCATCTCTTCTGCTGGTACGTTAACCAGCTGTTTCCTTTATTTACACTCTCAGAAAAAAGGCACAAAGCTATCACTGGGGCGGTACCGTAAGGTACAAAAATTTTACCTAATTTACCTCTAAATTGTGCATATTGGTACCTAAAAATCAGAAAGTTTGCTTAAAAATATATATTTTTAAGGATCATCGTGAGTTTTTTTTTTTAATGTTTTGACACTGTTTTAATATCAGTTAAGCACATTTATTCCCTTTCCCCCTGCATTACTATAATAATATGTCCTCACATTTTATAGAGATTTGAAATTCTTATTATTCTTTGTTGTCAAGTCAAGTTTATTTGTATAGCGCTTTTCACGATACAAATCATTGCAAAGCAACTTTACAGCAAATTAAGTTTCTACAATATTTAGTGGTAGCTTATCAGTGGTGACTGTCAATTAATGTACATATGGCAGAAATGTAAGGAAAAATCAATTTAAGACGTAATAAAACAATTCATTTTTTTTATAATACTAAGTAATACTCTTACTCTCGATACTCAGTCACCAGTGTCACGTGATCCTTTAGAAATCATTCTAATATGCTAATTTGCTAATTTTTCATTATTTTCAATGTTGAAAACAGTTATGCTGCAATCATTTTTTCAGGGTATTTTAAGAACAGAAAGTCCAAAAGAACAGCATTTATTTGAAATAGTTTTTCGTAACAACGTAAAAGTCTTTACTGTCACTTTTTAGCAATTTAATGCATCCCTGCAGAACAGACCTATTAATTTCTTGCTCAGATCCCTCCTTCAGTGCACGCCTATTGTGTATCTTTTGCTCATTTTATTATCTGCCAAACAAAGACTGAATGTTTGAGAAAGATTAAAATTAGAGTATCACAACTTAATATCATGACACTTTGAATGCAGTTAGTTTGAATGAGCCGCCCTGATAACATTTACCTTAATTTTCAGCTGTGATTTGTGATGATGTGTATGACGTTTCGGACAGAATCATCCGTGGGGATGGTGACCCACTCCTTCCAACAGCAAAGGTGCACAGCAAAGGTAAAAAAAAAAAAAG